ACAATATTTATATGTGAAAGAAAATTCACATGGTGCATGCGTGCACAAACATCCAATTGAATTGTTAGCATCATGTATATATAAATGCTTCATAAAAGGGTTCGTACCATTTTATGGCAACCTTCTTCAAACATTTCAAGAAATCCAGCAACCCAGCGATCAGCATTTTCAACCCACTCATTGCGATGCATGCCAGCAGTTTTTGCAACAGTTTGGATCTGCAACATTATTAAAGAAAAGTTCAAACCCATAATAACTCTTAAGCTTCTAACGGGCATTCTGGTCGATTTAAGAAATTATAACTTCGTTGATATTCTGTTAAATTTGTAAATGAAGTGAACAAGACACTCATTTGCAATTGAATTGCAATGTCTAATACAAATCAAAATATTATCAAAGATCTTATAAAATTCAATATAATCATTTTTTTAAACCATTGGAGAAACACAAATTAGAGCGCCATAACACATTCCAAGCCTTCTTTACTCCAAACTCGCAAGTTCATTTTGAATTCTATCAAATGAAATAGAATTTGAGTCAGGTGCTCAATTCAGTATGTTATTCCTTTCAAACTAATTTCTAGGTTTTGAAACAGTTCTATGCAGAAAATTGTGGATTTGCATCAAAATTTTACGATAGTCATCTGATCTAAATTTGTGAAAAAAAAAATCCAAAAACAAACAAGAAAACTAGAAGGCATTCCTTACCACATAAAACAAGGAGAAATCTCCCATTTCCTAATACAGAACTCTGTGACATCAATAACCAAAGCACTTGGCAGACAGTTAGTTCATTAACCATAATGACAGACTATTAACCATATGATGGTATCAGATGGAGTTCCTTCAGAACAGTTACAAAAGCTTCACTATTGTAGCCTGCTCGGACAGGGCCTACAGTGTTTATTTTAATTGGAAACTACTTATACATAGAACTCTTTCCCATTAGCTTCACTTCTAAAGTACCTGGCCAATCTGATACACAAGCACAACCAACTTAAAGTAATTTTGAATCTCTAAAATAGATAAAAATTAGAACCAAAAGCAAGTCTGAACTGGTTTTCTGTTTGCTTTTGAGAAACAAGAAAATCACACTTCATATCTTTCATTACTCAAACCAGTTTTGTTATTTTCAAGAGAAAATTTTGTTTAAATATTTTCTGGATAACATTGTTATCCTGAAACATAAACAAACATTATAAATTACATCATCATCCAGGAGTAGTATAAAATGATTTTAGTTGTCCTCTCGATACCTCATTTCCACTCTTATTGTGCAATTTGGTTACATAGATTCCTTTCTTATTGTTGACATTACAAAGGAAAACATGTTTGGTTCAAACATCATTCAACATGTGAACACAACAAGATTAGTTCTGAGGTTCAAGTGACATAAACTCATACATTTTCAACCTTTTAAATATGCATGAAACATTTCATGTTATCACTCCACAAAATATAGAGTTTTCTGGTTGTCTGTTTTATAAAGACTAAATTTATTAAAAAGGGACGACTGAAACAAGAAACGCACTTATAAAAAATACAGGGCTCCAAGGAGGCCACCTGACAAACAAATTATTTCCAGAAGAAATGGCCGTAACAACAGATAAAGACGAGATTAATATAGCAAATATTATGGGAGAACTAGGGTCCATAAGATAAATCCCTCGGAAAAACTCAAAAAAATACTATAATTGAGTTTAGGATTGCACAGAATTTGATTGCTTATACACTCATAAAACAAGGTAAATGATCAAAAAGACATGGGTGCTGAGCAATATGCTACAGAGAATTCAGTTTCCTATAAATTAACTATTTATAGGTGTTAAAGAGAATGCGTAATTAGGTTAAA